CTTCCCATGGGAATCTTTCGCAAGCTGGGGTTGGGCAGGCGGATTCTCTCTTGTGTAATAAGCAAAAAGCAGCAGGCGCGGTGATTTTGATATCCCTCTCTTGAGCGGTGCAGAACCACAGCTGTCGTTTCTCAGGAAGACAGACGCATCTTAAAGTTTGGGGAAGAAGCGGTGAGTAACCGAATCGATTGGTAGCTTCTGTAAAAGTCACTCTTGTGCCTTGAGCACCTTCTTTGCATCTAATCCAGGGTCTGGAAATGTGAAAGAGACGAAAATAAGATGCAACGGGGTCCTCGTTTGTGAGGAGTTTTCCTTTCGAATTGGTGGCGGATGATTAGCAAAGTTATCTGCGATTAATTACCCAAACTGCGTCGGAAGGAAAAGATGTCAGATGTCAGGAGAAAGAGATTCCTGTAGGCTACCAGGGACCCCCCCCCCCCCGTCACTTGTTGAATAGCATTGTGAATGGGAGTTTCAGATTGTTATGTGTGTGTATCCAAAAAATGAGCTGTTGTTCCAAAGAGGGATAAACCGTGAGTGAACACAGACTTTAGGGAGACCGTAGGAGTCTTGACTGGAGCAGAGGGTAGCATTTGGCAGATGATGGAGACTAACGTGGATGAGTAAGGCCAGGAGAATTTTGGAAAATTTAGGAATCTAGGAGTTAAGGAAACATATTGGTCTATATGTTGTGTGTGTGTGTGTGTGTGTGTGTGTGTGTGTTTATAACAATCCTTGGTAGCTCTTTGCTGGATGCTGCCTTTGAGAGTTTCTACCTACTTTCTGATAACTAAGAACGAGGAAGAGATAGAGCTTGGTCATTACCCAACACGTTGTGACACGTCACTCTCATTACTTCCTGTTTCCATCTGAGAGGGGGGGCCGCTGGAAGGAACTATTCCCCAGTGAATGGGGACTAGGGGGAGTCAAGGCTATGAGATCTACGTTTTCTATAGTAAACCAGACATTTACTTAGTGGGCAACACAGTTGAGTCCCCTGGCTCTCACACGAAGGAAGTGAACTTCATTGGGTCGAGGAATCCATCAGGAACTCACTGCTATGTTTACAGCCTCTGCAGCTTCTCCTAACCCACTTCATTAGCCAAGCCGTGTTCGGAATTCATTGTCTAGTCCAAAAGCTCAATAGTAAATTCATTTCAACACAACTTGTCCAGGTTTCTGTGCCAAGACTACAGAAGAACACTCTTTGGGTGAGTCCCTTCAAATAAGCTGCTTGGAAAAGATGTGGCTAGAGGTGTGGACTCCATCGCTGACGGCCTGTGATGTAGGGAGAAGCCTCCAGGCCAGCTGCAGTCACAGGATGTGTTGCAGGTTCAAGAAAGAGCAGGAAGGGGTGCCTGGATGGCTCAGTCGGTTGTGTCCAACTTCGGCTCAGGTCATGATCTCACGGTACGTGAGTTCAAGCCCCACGTCAGGCTCTGTGCTGATGGCTCAGAGCCTGGAGCCTGTTTCAGATTCTGTGTCTCCCTCTCTCTCTGACCCTCCCCCGTTCATGCTCTGTCTCTCTCTGTCTCAAAAATAAATAAACGTTAAAAAAAAATTTTTTTTTTTTTTAAAAGAAAGAGCAGGAAGTACCCACAGTTGGCAATGACCTTTGTGGGATCTGGCAGATGAGTTAGCGACCATCCTCACGTGCTCGTTAGAGCTGCAGGGATGGGGAACATCTTGGTTCCTTGGATCATCAGGTGAATGGCAAGAACAGAATCTCTAAAGGTGATTCTTTTTTCCTAGAACCACGCAGATCTCTCTTACCAAGAGAGCGAGGGCAAGAAACAAACCTGCTGAAACAAACAAACAGACAAAAGCAGGTTTATTGAACTCTGATTTATATACTGTAAAATCTGTCCCTTTCAAGCTGGATGACTTTTAGTAAATTTACAGAGTTGTGTACCCACCACCAAAATCTAGTTTGGGGATGTTTCCACCTGCCTGAAAAGCTCCCTTGGTGCCTGGTTTGTGCTCAGTTGCTATTCCATCCTCTCCCCTGCCCAGGCAACAAGTGATTACTGGTTGCTGCACGATTTCCAGTAGATTTGCCTATTCTAGGCATCGCAAATAAATAGAGGTCTAAAATACGGGATTTTTTGGTATGGGACTTTCATATAGCATGGTTTTTTTTTTTTTTAATTTTTTTTAACATTTATTTATTTTTGAGACAGAGAGAGACACAGCATGAACGGGGGAGGGGCAGAGAGAGAGGGAGACACAGAATTGGAAGCAGGCTCCAGGCTCTGAGCCATCAGCCCAGAGCCCGACGCGGGGCTCAAACTCGCGGACCGCGAGATCGTGACCTGAGCTGAAGTCGGACGCTTAACCGACTGAGCCACCCAGGTGCCCCTAGCATGGTTTTTAAATGTTTTTAAGTTTACTTATTTTTGAGAGCATGTGCACACACGTCGGGGAGCGGGTAGAGAGCAGGAGACAGAATCCCAAGTGGGTGTTGCACCATCAGCACAGAGCCTGATGCGGGGCTCGAACTCATGAGCTGTGAGATCATGCCCTCAGCCAAGATTAATAGTCAGACGCTTAACCGACTGTGCCACCCTGGCACCCCTAGCATAATTTAAAAAAAAAAAATTTTTTTTTTTAATGTTTATTTCTGAGAGAGAGTGTGAGCAGGGGAGGGGCAGAGAGAGAGGGAGACACAGAAATGGAAGCAGGCTCCAGGATCTGAGCTACCAGCACAGACCCTGACGCAGGGCTCGAACTCATGAGCCGTGAGATCATGACCTGAGCCGAAGTCAGCCAGTTAACCGACGGAGCCACCCAGGCACCCCCTCCCTTGGCATAAATTTTTTGAAGTTCACCTGTGTTGTAGCCTGTGTCCTTATTTCATCCCTTTTTACTGCTGAGTAGTGTTCCATCGTATAGATCGATCCTATTTTACGTATCTATTTGTTCATCAGTGGATGGGTAATTTCCACTTTTGGGCTGTTGTAAATACTGCTACTTTGGTTTCCTGTGACCCGTTGTGACAAATTACTACGAACTCAGTGGCTTAAAACAACAGAAGTTTATGTTCACAGCTCTGAAGACCAGAAGTGTAAGGTGAAGGTGTTGATAGCCAGTGCTCCTTCTAGAGGCTCTTGAGGAGATTCCATTTCTTGCCACCTCCTCTGGTGGTTGTGTCTGTCCCTGACTGGAGGTCACAGCGGTTCAGTCTTTGCCACCGCCTTCACATTTCCTTCTCTCCCGTGCATCTCCCAAAACTCCCTCTGGCCCTCCCTTACCAGGACACATGTGATTGCCTTTAGGACCCACACTGATGATCCAGAAAACGCTCTTCCTCTCAAGATCCTTAACTTACCCCAATTCTTTTTTTTAATGTTTATTTATTTTTGAGAGAGAGAGAGAGAGCTCGAGCAAGCAGGGGAGAAGCAGAGAGAGAGAGAGGGAGAATCCAAAGCAGGCTCCAGGCTCTAGGCTCCAAGCTGTCCGCACAGAGCCGGACGCGGGACTCAAACCCATGAACTGCCAGATCACAACCTAAGCCAAAGTCAGACGCTTACCCACCTGAGCCACCCAGGCGCGCCTAAATGTTTTGCTGCATAAGGTAGCATTCACAGTTTCCAGAAATCTGATGTGACTATCTTTTGGGAGGCTATTTTTCTGCCTACCATAGCAGCTGGGAATAGTCACAGAAAGTTGCCGCGTAGATGTGTTTTCATTTCTCTTCAGAGTGAGTGGGGAATGTAATTGCTGGGAATGTACTGGAAATTTATGTGTGGCTTAAGAAACTGTCAAACTGTTTTCCGAAGAGGCTGTGTCGTCTTCCATTCCTGCCGGCCATGAGTGAGGGTTCCAGTTTCTCCACATTCTTGCCATTTGTCTACCTTTTTAAAACTCTAGCCGGGGTGTCTGGGTAGCTCCGTCAGTTCAGTGTCCTGCTCTTGATGTCAGCTCAGCTCATGGTCTCACAGTTTGTGAGTTCGAGCCCCGTGTCAGACTCTGTGCTGACAGCTCGGAGCATGCTGGGGATTCTGTCTCTCCCTCTCTCTGCCCCTCCCCGGCTCGCTTTCTCTCTGTCTCTCTCTCTCAAATAAATAAACGTAACAAACAAACAAAACCCATAGCCATTCTAGTGGGTGTGAAATGGTATCTTGTGGTGAATTTGCATTTCCTTGATGACTAATGACGATGAGCACCCTTTCATGTGTTTCTTAGCCAGCATATATGATTCTTGGTAAAATGTCTCTTCGGAGCCCTTACCCATCTTAAGACGGGGTTGTCGTCTTTTTGAATCATCAGACTTAGCCTGTTTTCCATAATCTGGCCTAGTCACTGCCAGTCCTGAGGATGTGGTGATTGAGGTCACCTTGATGCGGAGGTGCTGGGCAATCCATTTCCCCAGGACGCCCAGACCTGGGAAAAGATGGCCGTCTCCACATTGCACTGTGCGTTAGTCTGCTCCTACAGGGTAGATGGGACTCAAAGTGGCCTTTTGACTCCCAATTACTGTGCCAGCGAAGCCGGGAGATGGCTCATTCTGTGTCTTAGAGATCTTGAGCTCAGTGGTGATGGAGGCTGGCTGTTGTCTGATGGACAAGGGACCCACCTACAGAAACCCACACTGCATTCTCATTGTAGCCTGGTGTTTTCTTTCATAACTCTTCCCACAATTGAAATTAAGTAGTTGTTTCTGTAATACAATACATTTAATATCTTCCTCCCTCTACTGGACTATTAAAAACCCCTGGGGCAGGGACCCCACCTGTGGGTTTTGTCTCTGTCCCCGGCCTCAAACACAACGTGTTGTAGACAGCCAACCAATTTTTGCCGGATGGAAGAACGAGTGTAAATTACCAGTAACGGGGGTTTAGGAGGATGTCCTCTGCTTTACAGTGGGTGATTCACACAAAATCCTTAAATAGAGGGCTGTTCGTTCCATAAGTAATTCATTAACCACTGACTGTGCTGTGTAGTGACTTGTATTTTAACCGCCACTGATGCCATTTCCCCCGTGTCTTTCTCATTTCCAGCGATCTATAACTACAATGCCTCTCAAGATGTGGAGCTCTCCTTGGAGATCGGAGACACAGTTCACATCCTGGAGATGTATGAGGGTAAGTCTGGATGGCCTTCTGCCAGACGGGGAAAGGGAAGCACAGTGGAAGTTACTTATTAATAAGGCACTTCGAGCAAACATCAGCGTGCCTTACTTCCTGAAATGGTGCTAGTAAAAAAACCCAGGAAGTACTTAGGCTATACAACTTTGTGCTGAGAGTGATTTCCAACACAGCCAGCCAAATACATGAGTGCCACCGTGCTCAGACCCCAGAACGTCAGAGCATATGAATAGCTGAACCCCAAGCCGCGGATGCAGAAGGATCCGACACAGTGCTGGCCCGGGAGGAGCCACGTGGGACCCTGGATTGGCTGCCGCGCAAAGGAAACACTGCCGATTAAGTGGCTCTTTCTACTCGGCACTAAATGTTGCCAGATTGGGGGAGAAATGAGGGAGAGACTTACTGGTGCTGCTGAGATTCTTTCACAGAACTAGGTCAGGCCTACAGCAGGTCCAGAAAGCCCCGTAGTATATTTCCTGCAATTAGGTCAGGCTAGGGAGGTGGTCCAGTTAACCTGTCAGTGGGCCGTAGGGAAGTACTCAGCACGCCTGGTTTGTCTGAAAAGCATAGGTCGTGCCCACTCCCCCCCGCATCCCACCCCACCCGAGGCTTGTAGCTCCATGTCAGTGGAGCTTGAATCCCGGCAGGACCCCTCCACGTATCCACATTTCAAATTCAAATCCCAGAGTACCACCAACATGCGTCCAGGCCACCGAAGTTGAGGATCAAAGCAAAGACCAGTTTTCGGGGCCCGTTTATTCCCTCTGAAGAGTAAGGCAGGAAGAAGGTGGGCAGCAAGGAAGACTTTTCTCAGAGGGTGAAGCTTCTTAGAATCAGGATCTCTAGATTTTCAGGATCCACACTTGCCCTCATCCACGTAAATGCTTGCGATGGCGGAATAGCAAAGGTGGCCATTAGGAATCTAATGCACTTGCCTAGAATGGGGAAGAAAAGCTGGGAAGCCAGGGGAAAAGGAAGCAGGGTTTGGCCATAGAAAAGCTAAGTCATTCTGCCTGATTGCATAGAAGACTCTATTATCCCTGCTGCCTCCCTTTATGTTTAGGCAGGGGGCCAGGGTTTCCTCTCCCTTCCACACAACTCAAAGCACAGCCATGCAGCTCCCAGGGGCAGGGAGAAGGGGGAGAGGGCTGTGCAGACTCTCCCCACACCCCCCTCTCTTTGCTCTTTTCATCCTCGCCATCTCAGGTCCAGCCCAACATCGGTTCCATGTTGTCCCTAAATCACCAAGACACAAGGGACAATCTACTTACTGTCTGATCTCAAGACTGCTTTGCTTGTTGAAACCACAGTCCCCTCAGGCCTTACTAGGTCATACTTCTTTGTCAGGGGCCAGATTTATCCATTCTAGCTAGTATCTGTGTTACACGTTTTTGCATTGTACAGGCAGAAGGCATGTGTTTGGCTTTGGAAACTCTTCCGTATAGGCTTGAAAAGAATGTATGTTAGGACCATCTGTGGATGACGGTTAGATTCTTATTTCTTTATCATTTTTTTTTTTCAAATTTGCTGTACATCATTGTTTTCCTCCATTTTCCATCAGAGAACAGCGTTCAGTCGTTCACCATGCTTACAGTTTATGTCAATGATGATGATTTACGGTGATGTCAGTTTTTTGCCTTATATATTTTCAGACCTATTTTTAGGTACGTACAATTTTAGAATTGTTATACTGAAACAATTTGCACTTTAAAAATTTTTTTAGAGAGAGAGAGTGCAAGCAGGGGAGAGGGGCCGAGAACAGGGGGTGGAGGGGAATGAGAGAGAGAGAGAGAGAAAGAGAATGAATCTTAAACAGGCTCTACCCTCAGTGTGGAGGCTGATGCAGGGCTCAATCCCACGACCCTGGGATCATGACCCGAGCTGAAATCAAGAGTTGGACGCTCAACTGACTGAGCCACCCAGGCGCCTCTAAACAGTTTGAACTTTTAATTCCTGTTTATTAAATCTTTTTACCGTTAGTTTTGTCTGTAGGATTGCTTTTTTCCTTAGTCTAGTTTGTCCGAAATTACAGCCAACTCATTGGCGGTCTAGGACTCCCCATTTTTGTTCTCCTGGACCCACCAGGCCATCAGAAACGCTGCTTCGCCATTCAGGAAACTTTTCTTAATTCGGCAGTTGCCCCAAGAAGAGAGGAGCCTCACACGCTGGCCTCGTCTCTCTAAGGTTTGATCTCTTTCAGATCTCGACCTGGTAATTCCCGTTTGACCGTAGTAGAGTTGCAGTATGTGTGCATGTGGTGGGTTTTGTCAAGTTTTTCCAAGTGTCCTGTGGAGTGTAGGAGGGAAGAGCGGAGAGTTGATTGGAAATAAAGTAGGTGATGTCTTTTGAATACATTTGCAACGCTCTGTCTTCATCGTTACGTGACCCGAACATAGTTTTTTGGAATCGCTCATTGAAGCACTCTGTCCTCCTACGATTCATATAATGGTCCTTTTAAATTTGTGCTCTGTCTTTACCGAGTGGTTTCCCAGTTGACCCATGGACATTCCTCAAGGTAGTACTCCTCTGGAGCCAGCCGAGGAGGTCACTGAGCTTGGTTGGATTGAAACGTAATCCAGATCCACGAGCACCTCCATTTCAAGCACCTTCTGGAGCTTGAGGCCAAAAGCCACAGTGCTCCTGGTGTTTTGGAGCTCGCTGGTGCTGGCCCAGCTGATAGGCAGTCACACAAATACCTGTCACTTCATCGATGCTGCGTCTTGAGTATGATGGTCCCGGTGCTCCAGTCCTGACCGCAGGAAGCTGATGTTCTTGTTAACTGCTACCATAAAATATTTGGGGTGCCGCAGGACTCTTTCACGTCAAAAAAGGATGTCCGTGCCCATTTGAAACCTGGTGTGTGTCAAGGTATGAATGGGCAGACTTAGAACATGAGCTTACGGAGTTCCTTTACCACCACCAAGAGGCCTGTCGGTTTTACGGAGATTATCGTATTGGATTATGTCTTTATATAGTGCTCATTTTAGGGGATTAATTTTTTTTTTAATTTTTAAAAAATGTTTTATCTATTTTTGAGACAGCGACAGAGCACAAGCAGGGGAGGGGCAGAGAGAGAGGGAGACACAGAATCCAAAGCAGGCTCCAGGCTCGGAGCTGTCGGCACAGAGCCCGAGGCGGGGCTCGAACTCACCAACCGCGAGATCGTGACCTGAGCCGAAGTCAGACGCTTGCTTAACCGACTGAGCCACCCAGGGGCCCCTGGGATTAATTTTTTTTTTTTTAATAGTGCCCACCTTGCCAGATGCAGTGATAGGTTCTTATGTCTCCTAAGTACTTCGAGTTCTTGGCTGGGTTCTCAAATTCCTTTATTATTTCAGGCAGTTCAGGACTAAGTGAGTGCAGGAGTACTTTGCAAACATTAAACAGGGTGGAAATGCTGAGTAATAACTTCTCTCCCTCCTCCCCCATCTCCTCTTTCCTTTAAAAAAAATAAATAAATAAATAAACAAGATGGAAACGCCCAGAGTACTGCCAGATGGAATTTAAGGCTAATGCTGGCACTATTTCATGGCCTGAGGGGTTTTGTGTCTTCCAGCTTCCTGTCTGATTTGGCTCCTGGGGCTCCCCCTCCTCCTGCACACTCCGCCCCACCCTGCCTTTGAGATATTCGCACACCAGACCTGTGTGTGCTTTTTCCCGTATGGACATGAGTCTACCTTTCTGGAGCCCAGCTACGGAAAATTCTTTTCTGCCCACAACCCATCACCGAAAACCACTCACGGCTCTTCCTTTTGCTGTTTCCTGGCCTGTGGTCGCATGAATAATTATGAAAGTGGTAGCTTCTTGAAGGCAAAGCCAGCTCGTCTTGCGTCTGTAGGGCCGGCGCCTTGCACAGCACCTGGCACACAGTAGGTGTTCTGCAGAAGTCCGTTAAAGGAATGAAGACAAAAGACAGGACCAAAGCAAGCCTGACGGAGCAAGGCAAGCTAGCGTGGAGAGTAAGAGAGGGTGGCAGTCACCTCCACAAAACCCCAGGTATCATAGGCAGAGTTGTTCTCCTTTTATGAGGGAAATATGGGAGGCTCCAACATTGCCCCCATCCGCAGCAGACTGCAGAAGGATTTGGTTATTGCATGAGTTTTGTTGTCTTTGTTTTTAATAACCGCTGCGTTGAGATCTATTTCAAATACCATACCGTTTACCCATTTAAAGGATACAATCCTTAAAAGGGCAATCCTTGTGCTTTAAAGGGCAATCGTCATCACTGTCTACTTGCAGAACGTTTTCATGAACCCAGAGAGAATCCCTGTACCCGTTTGGTGGCCATAATCCCCCAGCTCCAAGCAACCACCAACCTCGTGTCTGTCTCAGGAGATTTGTCCCGTCTACACCGTTCATATAACATGGGGCCCTTTGTGACTAGCTGAGTGCAATGGTTTTAAGGCTCGTCGTTGTTGCAGTGGGTATCGATACTTCCTATCTTTTTATGGCTCAATAACACTCATTGTATGCCTACATCACATTTCATCTATCCATTCATCCGTTGATGGACATTTAAGCTGTTTACACTTTTCACCTGTTATGAGTAATGTTGCTCTAACCCTTTATGTGTAGGTTTCCGTGTGGACGTATGTTTTCGGTTCTCTTGTTCCTAGGTATGTTCCTAGGAGTGGAATTCCTGGGTCATATAATAACTTTTCCTTTTGGGGAAGTGCCGGTCTGATTACTTGAGTTTTGCCCCCAGATCACAGCCCAAATGAGTGCCCTGCTATCGCTTATCACTCACTGCTTTCTGTCACCTTGCTCCTGAACTTCATTTGCTACTAAAAATGGGCGCAGGGACGGAGAACCCGCCGTGTGTACTGCTCGTGTTGTAGCGGCCCCCGAGAATTATGTTCCTTCAGAGACTTTTTCAGGGAACGAGATCCCTCAAGGACTGAAGCCAGTGTCCTCGCCTCTCTTCATCTTTGGTATCAGCCCGGCCTGTAGTCATTGCCATATCTTCGCTTCTTTAACCAGGCCAGGGATTTGGTAGC